AACAGATATAGAAAGACTGCACTCATCTGGGGAATATAAAGTAACAGAATAGGAGATGAACACCCAAGAATAGTTGAGAAAAGTACCAGGAGGTCTGCTCCACTGCTTGGAAGCTGGCAGCACATGCTGGGGAAAAACTCAGCTCAGATACAGAAGGGAACACCAAGTAAAGGGTGTTTGGAGGACTCGCTCAGGATGTGAGACGTGTGCTGAAAGTAGACTATAGACTGAACATGATGACCACTCAATACCTCTATTGCAAACCACAACACCCTAAAGGAAAGAGAGAGCAAAAGGGAATGCCCTGCCATAGAGGTGGGGTGGGGTGGGGAGGGGGAGGGCTATTGGGTTCATTGGTGGTGGAGAATGGGCACTGGTGGAGGGATGGGTACTTGATCATTGTATAACTGAAACCCAAACACGAAAGTTTGTAAGTCTACAACTGTACCTCATGGTGTCTAATAAAAAATTTTTTTAAAAAATTTTTTAAAAAACAGAGTAAGGAAGAAATGCATACCAGCATGAATCAGTATGTCAAGCAGTAACTTGGAGGAGAAAACACAGGTCTTTTACGGCCTAACACGACAAAGTAGCATTGGTTGGAAAGAATGAAGATACAGATGGACATCAATACCAGCAGAGGAAACCTCCCTTTCAGGAATGAGTAGTGAAAGCCAGCCTGGGTGCAGAAACCATCAAGAGAACTGGGGATGGCATCCCTCAGCCTTGAAGCAAGGCATTAAACATGGGACATGCAGAGAGATGAAATTTTGTGCAGTTTAGTACAAACATCTGCCTTCTTCATCTCCTCCTTAATCCTGTATTTGTGCTAGATTCTGGATCTCCATCTGGCCAAAACATGCCAATTGCTGGTGTTTATGAAAGAAAGATGACCAATTAATACACCACCAAATTACCTGGAGGCACAAACATCTTCTAACATTGAAAGCTGCTGCATTTCTCCAGGTTGCGTCATTACAGTCAATGAATCATAGGCAATGGAGTGGCTATCTAAATCCTACATCAGGGCAGAGGGGAGTAGTGTGTTCATAGGCCAAGGGCAACAGGACCCCTTCCAAGGCAGGGGGTTGGGGAGGTGAGGAAGGCCAGTCTTCTGGGACAATATCCCTGCACATTCCACAGGCAGGAGAGGATGGCTACACAGCCCACCACCATTTCCATCACTGTTAACAGTTAACCCAGTAATGCCAACCAATGGGTAACATCAACTCTCAAATATATATATATATATATATATATATATATCTCAAATATGTATATATAAATATATACTTAATATATTTATATATATCCTTTGGTTTATAGTTATGCATGTTCAAAAACTCCATCTAAATCTCTCTCCCCCAAGTGAAAACTAGGGATAAGGCAGTGGAAAGGCAAAGCAGCTTGCTTTCCTAGTGACATCCGCAAATGGACAAACATCCTAACAGCAATCTGAGGATGCGCCTTTCCAAGTGAGCTCGTGGTGTCAACAACTGAAACCAGAGCCAAGAATCGAGGGCTTCGGGTGGCAGGGGGGGACCTGGCTGGGTCTATGAACGAGATCAGGTGGGTTTAGCAAGTGGCCCCATGGTGGGTTGTGATAGGAACTAACCCCCCTTTATTTCTCAGCTCTGGAGGACCAAGGCTTTGTGATGGATTCAAGTGCATTACCTAACTGAAGAGGCTTGGACTTGGCCAAAAAAAGCATCTAATTTGAGTTTCACAACACCTTAAAGAGGCTGATGGAATTAAATTACGTCTGAGCTACAGATAGCATCAGAAGTGTCCATGAAGCATTAAAATGGTTGATGGTTGAAAAGGTTTGGGATTTTAAAATGTTTTCAGGTGGGTTTTTAACGGTATGCTGGCTGATAGCATCCCTTAAAAAGAAAATGTGTTGCTGAAAATATTATTTTAGCACCTAAAATGGCTCCAGAAATAAGAAAGTATTTGAACATACAAGCTTGTCTCTTTTTTGGTATTAAGCTTTGGACAGTTTGGCACTATTTAAAATAATATTTCCTAAACATAGGAAGCATTAGCTCTTATGTTTGTTTAAACTATCGATTCTCAAGATGACCGATAGGCACTTCAAGAAATGCTCATTACTATCACAGAAAAGAACGTCAAAACGACAATGAGAGATCACCTCACACTAGGGAGAACCATCTATATCAAAAGGTCAGAAACAGGGCGGAGGAAATGGTTTAAAGGACCGGAGCACCACAAAGGGTGACCCCCAGGGCCCTGAGTGGCACACAATATGATTTTTTTAAAGGCCATAAACCATAAGTGATGGTTAGAAGAGAAAAATGAACCTTTTTATTCATTATTGATGGGAATTTAAACTGGTTCAGATGAGGCTGGAGCCATAATACAGCAGATAGGGTGTTTGCCTTGCACATGGCCAACCCAGGGTCAATTCCCAGCATCGCATCTGGTCCCCAAGTACCGCCAGGAGTAGTTCCTGAGTGCAGAGCCAGGAGTAATCTCTGTGCATTGCCTGGTGTGACCCAAAAAGCTAAAAATACATAAATAAAAATAAACTGGTTCAGACCTTATGAAAGCAGTATGGAGATTTCTCCAAAAATTACCAATTAAATTCCCAAATGAGCCATCAACTCTATTTCTAGCTATTTATTGCCAAAACACAAAAGCATGGGACAGAAAGATAATACAGCAGCTAGGGAATTTGCCTTGCACACAACCAACCTGGGTTCAATCCCCAGATCCCACATGCACTGCCAGAGTAATTTCTGCAGAGCTGGGAGTAACCCCTGAGCATTGCCGGGTGTGACCCAAAACAAAAACAAAACATATACCCACACACAAAAACACTACTTTGAAAGGACACATGCACACAAATGCTCACTATAGCTCTACTTCCCACAACCAAACTCTGGAAACAATTCAACTATCTGATGACAGGAGGGCAGATAAAGAAGAGGCGGTACATACTCACAATGCAACACTATGCAACTGTAAAAAGAGCTAAAATCTTGCCTTATGCTACAACACAGAACCAGAGAGGGCCATGCTAAGTGAAGTAAGTCAAAAGGAGAAAGACAAATACCAGGTGATCTTATTTACATGTGGATATTAAAAACAAAGGAACAGACCATGAAAACAAACCCGATGTCTGCTGACCCTTTCACAGTGCACGCCTGAAACATACACTACACTCCTGTCTCCTTTAACCAAGTCAAATGCAATTGAAAAATAAAAGAAAAATGTGGGTTCCCAGCTCTCTCCCATGATAACAAATAAGATCTTGTGGGGCAGGAGTCTGGGTGCTAGGGTTAAACAAGCACCCAGATGAACTTGGTGCAAAGTCAGGTTTGAGCAGACTTTAACCCCAGGATTAAAAAAAAAAAAATTCACCAAAAAGCAATAGATGACGGAGCCACCTTTCAAAGACTAACTCTGATGAGAAAATGAGAATCGTGTTTTCCTTATGAAGTATTGAGACCAGGAAACCCTGACTAGGTTCAGCCAACCTTTCTTTACCCAAAGCCCCACACTCAAGCACTTTCAGCCTGACTTCCAGCTACATGAGCCCCAACGTCTGCACAGGAGACCCTTGGTGCCCGCAGGTCCCAACCCTGCCACCGCTGCAGAGGAGCGTGGCCCTGCTCCACTACGATCTCTAAAATGTGCTCATCATTTATTTTGAGAAACCAACGTTTCCCTATCCCATGTGAGTCTACGACGGGCAGCTGCATAGCTGGAGGATCTTTTTTTTTTTTCAGTCACTGGCAAAGGAAGATGGGGCTGGATTCCTTGGAGCTGGGCAGAAAGGGGAAGTTTAACACACTTAGGTCAGGGAGGTTAGGCGGCTGGGGCAGGCACCTCGCATGGGCTGCTGGGAAGCCCCCAAAGAGCTATGGAAGATCACTGAGAAAACGTTAGAAAGGCCCTTAGAAGGAGAAGCAGAGAGAGGAGAAAGGAATACAGAGGGCAAGACAAGCCCTGCCCAGTCCCTGCACTGCTAAACTTGGGGGGGAGGGGGTAACACCTGCTCTGCAACAGGAGCTGGGCAGGCACTTTCAGAAGATGGGTGAAGCACCTGGACGGTGGGGCATCCCCAGACGTCTCCCTAAAGGCTGTGGAGAGTCAGAAGAGGGTAGAGAGGACTCCATGAAGGACAGTGACCCCACACATCTCATTCAAAGGGACCCAGGTGGGAACAGGGTGTGTGCGACAAGGGGCAGAGCCCCCTCCCCTCCAGGGGCATCCTTAGGGAGAGCTGACCTCAAGGGCACAGAGGGAGCCACCTTCTGGGGAGATGTCCCTTGTGTCCCCCCCCACCCCACAACCACCCCCCCCTCCCTTCACCCCTGTCCACTGAGTGGGAGATGGAGAGGGACTGGGGGACCAGGAAGCATGTCCCTTTCAGGGCTACCCAAGAGTCACTGGAGCCCCTTTCCTGGCCCCCAACCACAACGCCCACCCCACCCCCAGCATTACATCAAGCCCACTGCCAGCAGGTTTGTCAGCCCAAGCCTCCCCCCACCCTCACCCTTGCACATCCTGATGAATGAGCTGTACTGCTCCCCAAAACCTGCCCTCTCCCGCGGGGTGTCTCCTGCGAGGGCATCCTAGGGAAGATGAAATCACGGCGGGGGAGGGGGCGCCAACTACCTCGGCGAGCAAAACTCAGCAGCCGGGGGGCATGCGGGCTGGCGCCTGGTGTTTCAGCGGCGGCGCCGCAACCCCGCGCACCTGGCCCGCAGGTACCCTCCAAGCCGCGCCGGGAGCCCTCCAAGTTCTCTGCAAAGTTCCTCTCCGGCAAGGCGCAGCCCAGGGCACCCCGAGCCCGACCCCGAGCCCCCCCGGCAGGTCTGCACCAGTCCCGCCCCAACCCAGCCTGCTCTGGGGAGCCCCTTCTCCTCCTCGGGGGAGTCCTCCGCCCCTGCCCCCACCCCCCCACCCCCTGTCCACCTTTCCCCCCACCGCTACCCCGACCTCCTGCTGGGCCGCGCGGCCGCGGTACTCACGTCTCGGAAGCGGTTCCAGTACTTGTCCCGGTCGTACTGCGAGACGGTGCTGAGCCACTGGTCGTTGTCCAGGAGGTGGCCGCGGTCTGGGCGAGCGGCCGGCGCGTCCAGGTGGCGGCTCTGCACCTGCAGGAAGCAGCACGCCGCCGCCGCCGCCGCGAGCACCGCGATCGCGGGCATCTGCGGGGCCGGCCGGGGCGCCACGGTGAGCGGGGGGCGCGCCCGGAGCCCCCCGGGGAGCCCTGCTAGGAGGGGGGGGAGCTCCGCTGCACACCGCGAGGCTGCGTCACGAGTGGGGGCCGCTAGGAAACTACAGAGGAGCCCCTGCCACCTGGCCTCGGCGGACCCCCGGGGCCCGGCTACTCTGGGAAGGGGGGGAGCACCCTCCCGCCCCCCAACCGAGCTGCACGCACCGACGGCGGCGCCGGGCGGAGACGGGGTGTCCCTGCACGGCGGGGGCGCGGGGGCCTGTCCGCCTCCTCGGCCGCCACCGCGGCCAGACCCCCCGGGGCCGCGCCGGGCTCCCAACTACGCCAAGTTGGGGCGCCGGGGTAAGCGGGGCACGTACCTTGGGGGCCGGCCCGGGTCCCCGGATCCGAGTCGCCCGAGCTCCTGTGGCTGCTCAAGCCGCGAGCTGCGCCGCGCTTCTGCGCCCGCCGCCGCCGCGCGTCCCGCCGCTTTGTGAGCCCGCAGCGCTCTGACTCCGCTCTCTCCGCGGCTCGCTCGGGCGCGGCGTCGCGGGCGGAGGGGCCCGGCGCGCCACGCGAGGCCGCTGGCGACCCCTGGCGGCTGCGCGCGGCGCTGCGGGGCTGTGTTTGTGTGGTGTGTGTGTGTGTGTGTGTGTGTGTGTGTGTGTGTGTGTGTGTGTGTGTGTGTGTGTGTATGTATGGTGTATGTGTGTCCAAATCTGATGGACCAGTGTGTGTGTGGTGTATGTGGGGCTGGTGTGTGGTGTGGTGTGTGTGTGTGTCCAAACCTGACGAACCAGTATGTGTGTGCGCGTGTTCAAACCTGACAGACCAGTGTGTGTGTGTGTGTGTGTGTGAAACCTTACAGACCAGTGTGTGTGTGTGTGTGTGTGTGTGTGTGGTGTGTGTGTTTGTCCAAACCTGACGGACCAATGTGTGGTGTGTGTGTGTGTGTGTGTGTGGTGTTTGGGGGTGGCGCGGTGATGTGTGGGTCGCATGTATGGGTGTGTCCAAACCTGATGGACAGGTGTGTGTGTGTGTGTGTGTGTGTGTTTCCAAACACCTGGAGGAAGAACAAGAAGCCAGCAAAGGCGAACCAGTGTTTGTGTATGTGTGCGTGTGTGTGTGTGTGTGTGTGTGTCCAAACCCAGAGACAAAGAGCAAGAGACCAGTGACGAGCATCTAGTCAATAAGCCGGACCTCATTCAGGCTCTATCCTGGAGAACACTTATCTCTGTGCAAGTGGGAACCCCCTCCCACCACACACACACACCAGACTCACTGAATGTGCATTTCTGGGGAGGGCCTCCTCCAGGTGGATGAATTCCCGATCTATGTGCTCATGCCCACACCATGCCCAGGACTGTCAGTTCCTGGAAATTGTTCTTCTGGCTTCTGTTTCTGTCCTTTCTGCCACCCTGGGCAGTTCCAGGTGCTCTGCAAAAGAGCCTCTCCCCACCGAGGGCCTGACCCCAGTGCGCTGCTTGGGCAATTTACCTAGCAGGGAAGGAAGAGAACGAAGTCAGGGAAATAGTACAGGACCCAAGGTTTTCCCCTGAGCATCATTGCCAGGCATTGCCCTAGAGACCCCCATACCAAGCACCTCTGAGCTGGCCCACATGGTCCTCACACCTGCTCATCCTCATCCTCCACACCTGCACTGAACTACAAGCCAGCTGGGGACTATCACTTAGAGTGGCTGCAGGGAGGGGCCCTGAGCACCCCTTGGGAATTCACACACTCAACAAAGGGGAGAAAGGAACAAGATGCTGGATCAGGGGCCTGGCCTTGCCCCCAAGAACATCCAGGTTGGAGCAGGGGCTGGAATTCCCCATCAGTCCCCATATCTGGGCACAGAGACCCTTTCTGCCACCTGTCAGCAATCTAAGAACTGAGAGGCCACCGGGACCCCCACAGACCTTGTCCACTGTCACCTCTCTCTCTCTCATCCTCACTGCTGAAGAGACTTGCTGAGCCCCTGGCATCGCCGATGACTCTTAGGAGAGCAGAACAGTCCTGTCTGGAAGCCTCCACCCCTCTGTGACCCTGTCTGTAACTTGTCTGTGACCTCCATCTGCTTTGCCGCAGAGCAGAGACCATTGTGCTTCCTTCAACGCTGCTTCTGTCACCCAGAACCAAGCCCCTGGCCCTGGGCAAGAACTCAAAATATACTTGAAGACTGAATGGACACATAACTGCATGACGCCAGTCAGTGCCACTCAGCCCACAGACTCCAACACTTGCTCCAGGGCCAGCTGGATTGCAGAAACCCCACCACTGATGATAAACAAAACTTCTTTGAGCCTCTCACCTCCACTACCACTGTCTTCACACTTAAAGATCTTACTGGCAATGGTAGGTGAGGTTTATCATGTGGAAGTTGGATTCCGATTTTTTTCTAAAGAATAGCAGATGCTCTATCCCTGTATTCCTCTGATTTACATTCCTAGAAATAGTCTTGAAAGAACGGGGAGTGGGGTCATAACTTTTATATGGAGACTGTAGAATCCACAGTATGTTTTACTATGGGCATATTTTAGAAATTTCAAAATCATGTCCTGGGGAATGAGAGTGAGGCAGAATTTTAAAATGGAGAAGTATTCCTTTCCTTTCACAGAAGCCCAGGTAGTTACTTACCAATTTCTTTACTAAATTTCACAGGGAAAAAAAGAATTTCTCCAAAAAGTTGCTCCAGGTATCATTTCTGCTTCCTCAGCTCCAAGTCATCCTTCTGTGAATTTTAATCCTCCCCTGAGCCTCATGGATTATCCTGGCATTGTCACCACCATCATCCACCTTGACACTCCAGGTGGGCACCCTCCATCCTCTCCTGCATGGATTGAGCAGTTTCCTTAGATCTCTTTGCCCATCCCTCTGAAATGTCCATTCCCTTGGTCCCTCTCACATAAATACTGGGAACCTCTCAGACCTGCAGGGTCGTTGTCCTCTGTTCCCTCAGCCTAAGGCCTTTCCCTGGGGCTCACATCTGGATCTGTGCTGAGATTCCAGCACATGGGTGGTGCATGTATTCTGGTTGTCCATGCAACTTCATACTTCTCCTTGGCATGCACCGTGATATGTCAGGCATGCCAGGGCAAACAGAAGCCCAAATTCTTCTTCAAGAACTTGTACTCGAAGTCTCATGCCTCTTACAGATGGCCCACAAGTCATCTTTAATGCCTCCACTTCCCTTCCCTCTCACTTCCGGTCTGTAAGCAGATGGGTCCATTATGCTCCAAGCCTCCCCTCCTGGCAGCCTTACTTCTCTGCACCTCAGCCAGCTGCACACTCTGCCTATTCATCACTTCTCCCCCCCCGGGGTCTTCAGTAGCTTTTCAGCTAGAGTCCTTGCTTCCGTCATTTCCCCTCCAACCCATCATCCATTCAGGACTCAACAGAGTCTTATTTTGAGGGGAAAGGGGAAGTGGAGAGAGATCCACACTTGGCATTATTCAGCTTACTCCTGGCTCTGTGCTCAGGGGTCATTCCTGGTGGGCTTAGGGGGTCTATATGTGGTGCTGGGGATCAATAGGGCAAGCAGCCTACTCACTGTACTGTCTCTCAGATCTTCCACACATTCTTTCATAGTACTTTTATTGAATATTGGTTTATAACATTAACTTAGATTTCAGATACACATTATAGTTTGACAACATTTACTTGCTACCTGGAATCCCATGAGAAGTCTAATCTCCATTACCATCATATCATAGACCCCCTTATCCCACCCTCACATCCCTTCTCCTCTGGGGACACCATTTTGTTTGCCAAATATAAGCACTTGTTTCAACGTTCAGATGAACAGCTTTATATTTATATTTCAACATCTGTATAAGCGCAGCTTCTTAAACCATGGGTCACAATGACACATGGGGTGACATAATTGAATGTAGGGGACATAAAAATCTTCAAAATGTGTCTTTAAATAAATTTATGATGCATTACCAATAAATATTTTATGTGTATACTTGTTTTGTATAACTATATATTTAGAGTCAGATGAAAAAAATTCTCAGGCAAAAAAGGGAACCCAAGTAGAAAAAGTTTAAGAAATCCTGGTCTAAACTATATTATGATCATCTCTAAAATATATTCCATCCACAATCAATCCAACCCTTTTTATTGTTTGTTTGGGAGCTTTTTGTTATTCTGTTTGGGGCCATGCCCAGGGGTGCTCAGAAGTCACTTCTTGCCAGACTCAGAGGAATATATGTGGTGCCAGGGATCATACCCATGTCCACCACGTGCAAGGTAAGCACTTTACCTGCTGTGCTATTTCTCTGGCCCAGCAATCCTACTTCTTAACCATTCTACCCGCCACCCATTTCTTCCCCTTAAGAAAACATCGTTCTGGCCGCTTAGTACCTGTATTGCAAACCATAACACCCAAAAGGAGAGAAAGAGAATAAGAGGGTCACAGGCTCTGTGCCTGCCATGGAGGCAGGGAGTTGGAAGGGATGGGGGTGGGGGGAGGGATACTGGGAACATTGGTGGTGGAGAATGGACATTGGTGGAGGGATGGGTATTTGAACATTGTTTGACTGAAATGCAATCATGAAAGTTTTTAAGTCTGTAACTGTATATCACAGTGATTAATTAAAATAAAAATAAATAAAAAATTTTAAAAAAAGAAAAGAAACCATCATTCTGTTGTCAGAATCCAAAGGCAGGATATGTTTTTGTTTGGGACTATTTTGTTTTTGTTTGGGACTCTGGCCTTGTTCCTTTGCTTTCGAAAGAGAGTAGAATCATATTATCCTTTTCTGTCTGACTTCCTTCATTGTATCACTGTATCACTGTCATCCTGTTGTTCGTCTATTTGCTCAAGCAGGCGCCAATAACGTCTCCATTCATCCTAGCCCTGAGATTTTAGCAGCCTCTCCTTACTCGTTCTTCCCAATGGTGCCACATTGGAGACTCTCACTGGGTCAGAGGAATGAGATCCATCATTGTTATTATTTTTGGCATATCAAATATGCCATGGGGAGCTTGTCAGGCTCTGCCATGCAGGCAGGATACTCTCAGTAGCTTGCTGGGTTCTCCGAGAGGGAGAACTAGACAATAAAAGGTCACAGGGCTGCTGATTTCCTTACTTAACGTAATCCGTTCACGTTTTATCTGTATTGTGGCCAGTGGCAATATTTTATTTTTTTTATAGCTGTGTGGTATTCTGTTTAAGTGTAAGAGTATAAGAGAAGGGATAAAAGGGGAATTCTATTAAAAAAAATAGTCATGAAAAACAGTCTGGCCATATAGAAAACAAAATAGTGGGTTTTTTTTTTTTTTTTTTTTGCTTTTTGGGTCACACCCAGCGATGCTCAGGGTTTACTCCTGGCTCTGCACTCAGGAATTACTCCTGGCGGTGCTGGAGAGACCATATGGGATGCCAGGGATCAAACTCAGGTCAGCCGTGTGCAAGGCAAATGCCCTACCTGCTGTACTATCACTCTGGCCCCAAAAACAAAATAGATTTTAATTTAATTGTTTTTTGTTTTTTGGTTTGGGGCCACACCTGCAGTTCTTGGGTTACTCCTGGCTCTGCACTCAGTAATTA